CATTATTGTACACAAGTACAGTGTTATACTGTGCCTGTTAATTAAGAGCACGAGCCCTGATGTAATTCACCATTTTAGTGACATCTTTGAGGATATCTTCTAATTTTTTGCTGCTGTCCCTGGCACAAAGAGCTTCTTGGTATATAATACATTAAAACTGTATGACTGGATGTTTTGCTTCTTTAACAAAGAACTGTATGAAACCAGATGTTGCCCCAACCGTGCAATGTGCTCCATCACTAGTAATTGATACCACTTTTTCTGGTCTTATTTCTTGTGCCAAAAAAGCCTCCATTACTATTCCTTGTGTTCTTCTAGGCAAGGACAACAGTTTCAACAGCTCTTCTCTCATGATGTCACCAACAGCATAACGCAAAATTACTGCTAGCCTTTGCATGATTATTTATATCTGTGCTTTCATCCAAGCATATGGAGTAACAGGCTGCCTTTTGTAAATCAGTGGAGAGCTGGTGACTATCATCACTTCCCATGCACAGGACTCAATCTTTAACAGTATTTCTGCTAACTGGCATCTCAGAGATGCGTTGCATAATTTTATCCTTGTTTGGGAAATCATGAAAAAGGAAACTACTCCCAGCCAAAATGGCCATTTTAATAAAATCCCCATCAGAGAGCGGCTTATCATGTTTTGCTATGCACCGTGAAATTTGAAAGCTGGCAACGGTCAGACGATTTGATTTAGAAAGATAGTTGGAAAAACTACGATACTGGGAGTGATATTTCCTCAATGTCTCCTTAAGAAACACTTTCCTTTCAGATTCTCCAAGATTGGCAACACTTTTGTGGTTGGTGTCAAAGTGACGTCTAACACTTGATGTACGGGACTCAACACTTTCACTACACAGAATACATAACGCTTTTCCATTGTGTTCAATCACTCCAAATGTTTCTGCCCAAGCCTCTTGTAATGATCTTCCACTTTCTGTTTTAAGCTTTGCTTTTTTTGCTGTACTCATTTTTTGTGTTTGTGACATGAGGTCTATAAAAACACAAAATGTATTAAAAAAAGACTAAGGATACATATCACTCACCAGCACAAAGAAACAGTACATATCATTTATTACCACACTTCAAATGTAAAGAGTGGAAAGGATACTTGTCATGTATTACCACACTGCAAGGCTTGACAGTCGTAGCATGCTGGTGAGTGACATGTACCCTCACAGTGTAGTAATAAGTGATATGTCTCTTTGTGTTTGATGGAGTTAGATGCAGAGAGAGGGCACTGAAAGCTTAATTTTGGCGGCTGGTACATGTTAGGGGTTTTTTTTTCTGGTCTGAAGGCTGAAAAAATTGGCATGTGACAGTGACTCTTTAATGACAGCAGACATAGGTAGCTTGTATCAAGGCCTTTTTAACATGTCATGATTCCATTTTATTCCAGAAGGAGGGTGCAGTGCTAGAACAGTGCTCCCTCGCAGCCCTCCATCCCACCCACCAGTGCCATCTTAACAACATTATGGTCCCCTGAGCAAAGCAGTGCACTAGGGTCACAGACTGCTGAACACATTCACACACCGACTGCTGAATACATACACACACCGACAGATGCACACAGACTGCTAAATGCACGCACACAGACTGCCAAATACATACAGACTGCCGAATACACACACTGCTGAATACACAGACAAACTGCTGAGTACTCACAGGCTGCTGAGTACACAGAGACAGACGCTGAGTACACAGAGACAGACTGTGTGTGTATTCAGTCTGTATGTATTCAGCAGTCTGTGTGTGTGTATTCAGCAGACTGTGTGTGTATTCAGCAGTCTGTCTGTCTGTCTGTGTATTCAGCAGTGTGTGTATTCCGCTGTGTATGTATTTACCAGACTGTGTGTGTGTATTCAGCAGTTTGCTGAATACACACATACAATCTGCTGAATACACACAAACTGCTGAATATGCACACTGCTGGATACACATACAGACATACTGCTGAGTATACACAGACAGACTGTGTGTGTGTGTATTCAGCAGACTGTGTGTGTGTATTCAGCAGACTGTGTGTATTCAGCAGTCAACATACTGCTGAAAACACACAGACTGTTGAAAACACACAGACTGCTGAATACACATACAGACAGACTGCTGAGTACACACAGACAGACTGTGTGTGTATTCAGCAGTCTGTGTGTTTTCAGCACTATGTATGTATTCAGCAGACTGTGTGTGTGTACTCAGCAGACTGTGTGTGTGTATTCAGCAGTCTTTCTGTGTATGTATCCAACAGACTGTGTGTGTGTATTCAGCAGTCGGCTGAATACACACATACAGTCTGCTGAATACACACACTGCTCGATACACATACAGACAGACTGCTGAGTACACACACATAGTCTGCTAAATGCATACAGACTGCATTTATTTAGCAGTGCGTGTAGTCAGCAGACTGCTGAATGCACAGACTGCTGAGTACACACACTGCTGAATACACATACTGCTAAATGCACACACACACACAGTCTGCTGAATACACACACAGTCTGCTGAATACACACACACAGTCTGCTAAATACACACACACAGTCTGCTGGATACACACACACACACTCTCTGCTGGATACACACACACAGTCTGTGAAATACACACACACAGTCTGCGGAATACGCATACACAGTCTGCGGAATACGCACACAGTCTGCGGAATACGCACACAGTCTGCTGAATACACACACGGTCTGCTGGATACACACACAAACTCTCTGCGGAATACACACACACAGTCTGCTGGATACACACACACACAGTCTGCTGGATACACATACAGTCTGCTGGATACACACACACACAGTCTGCTGGATACACACAGACACTCTCTGCAGAATACACACACACAGTCTGCGGAATACACACACACAGTCTGCTGGATACACACACAGTCTGCTGGATACACACACAGTCTGCTGGATACACACACACACAGTCTGCTGGATACACATACAGTCTGCTGGATACACACAGACACTCTCTGCAGAATACACACACACACAGTCTGCGGAATACACACACACGGTCTGCTGAATACACACACACAGTCTGCTGGATACACACACAGTCTGCTGGATGCACACACACACAGTCTGCTGGATGCACACACACACACACACACACACACAGTCTGCTGGATACACACACACACTGTCTGCTGGATACACACACACACACTGCTGGATACACACACACTGTCTGCGGAATGCACACACACAGTCTGCGGAGAGGATCTAGAAGAACTAGTGCCAGATTTACTAATCCTACTGTTGCTGCTGCTAAACATATTCCAAGTCTGTATTTAGGATAGACCTGTATGCGTTACAAACGCTGCTACTATTTAGTGGACTAGCTGATTCTGCTGCTGCAACTACAGATTTTTTCGACCTTGAGCCACCAATTGCAGTATAAAAATTACTGATAAAGAAAACAAACATCCGCCTTCTGGGTGGTGAATCAAATGTAGGAGACATGCTGGTCTCTCTAGCTTGAGGCTGACGTCTGCTTGTAGTGGTGGCCACTGTTGAGCAAACCTCCTGCTACCTGGACATGTATGCCCCCCCCTCCATACCTCCTCCCTGTTCCGCTTTAGGTCAGTTTTAACTCTTCTTCCTGCCTGTCATCTATATTTATTATTTTGAACTTTGTCAGGAAAACTTTCCTTGGGTTTTCAATAATGAACTTCCATCTTGAGTGCAAGGATTCATTACATGCATGTTCTGTCTCAAGTTGGTCTAAGTGGCACTAGCAGTGGCTGGGTACTGTAATAACCTAATCAGTCTAAAACTTGGATAAGTGAACAAGGCTAACTTCAGTTCCCACAAATGTATATCAGATTTCCCTACAGTCACTGGAGGAAGTCATCATAATCCACCCCGATGATGTATTAGTCCATTTGCAGCCATCGGAAGCAACATTGCGGAACTCGCAATTCGTAATTTCTTTTGCACGTTGTGCTTTCTCATGGCCTGTAGCTCATTATCAAAGTATTTGAAAGACCCGAACCACCATATTGTGGTTGGGCAAAACATTGAATGTACATTTAAATGCATGGTAAAAGGGGGGGGGGGGAAGAGACCAGTTAAAAATAATAAATAAAAATACTTTATTCTCAGTATAATGATGCTGATTGTGGCTTAAAAAGGAATTCCAATATTGTTGTTATAAAGGTGCCACAATCAGGGGCGGATCCAGAACCAAATCTCGGAATGGGGCACTTGTGGAGGCCTATAGCAGGGTGAAAAGGGCTGCAGCGGAGGAATAGGGGACTCTTGTACACATATGCGGCCACACACAGGGATATGGAAACACAATAACACACTGACACATACACACAGATACAAACATATACCTTCATTCAGACACATACACTGGCACACCCACAGATACAAACCTATACCTACACAGGCACACACAGATACACACATACCTACACATAGATACACATATACACACACTGTCACACAAATACACACACATACCTGCACATGCACCCTGGCACGCGCACGCACACACACACACACACACACATCCCTACACATACAGACACACAGACATACACATACACAAAATGACACACATACCTTCACATACACACACAGATACAAGGTAATAGAATATACAGGCAAAACTCCAGGTACTGAAGGTGTATTTATTGGAGGGCATCCATTTTGGCATCCATTTTGAAGCTGCTTTCTTAGTGAGCTGTCCAGGAGGTGGGAGGGTCTGGGGGGAGGGTCTGCTGCTGATTGACTGGAATGTGTCTGCTGACTGTGAGGTACAGGGTCAAAGTTTACTCAATGATGAGTCCGTGGCGAACCATTCGGACCTCACTACTTGCAATTACTATTGTGTATAATTTTAAAATGACACTGTGTCCTTCAAACTCTTTGGATATTCCACACATTTTTCAATTCTCAATTGAAAAAAGAGGTTGTGTTTTTTTCACATTGTTCCTGCTTCAACTCAGCTTATGTCAGCATGCATTGAAACATTTGTCCCAGCCTTCACAAAAAATAGTGCAGTGTTCACTAAAAACTGAAGACTTTCCAGATCCTCTAAAAGAAGCTGTGGTAAAACCCCTCCTAAAGAAACCTTTACTAGACCCAGACTGCATGGCTAATTACAGACCAGTATCCAACCTTTCATTTTTGTGGAAAATAATTGAAAAAGTAGTGGCAACTCAACTGGAGGCCCATCTATCAAGCTTGAACATCTTTGATCTTTTCCAGTCAGGTTTCAGATGCCACCACAGCACGGAAACAGCGTTATTCCGTGTGCTAAATGATCTCCTTATGGCCAGAGACAAAGGTGATTACTCCATCCTAATCCTCCTGGATCTCTTAGCTGCATTTGACACCATTGACCATAGAATTTTAATAGAGCACTTGCAACACATATGTGGTCTAGGAGGCACAGTCCTTAACTGGTTTAAATCTTTCCTCACTGGTAGATCACAGAGAGTAACATGCGGATCAAGCTCATCGGCATCAACAGAATTGGTCTGTGCAGTTTCACAAGGATCCATCTTGTCTCCTATTCTATTGGCAATTTACTTGCTACCACTGGGGGACATCATCAGGCGCATGGCCTTAAGCTATCTGTAACAGTTTAAGTACTCCAACCGAGTACCTCCGTTGATGTGCTTCCCGAGGGTTCCAAGCACTTCTCCAGACACCATAAACACTGCAGACCGAACCTCTCTTCCTTCAGAGAGTGAAGCAGGAACAAGCTCTTAAATGAGCTTAGTGATTATAGCCAAGGGAGTATACCGTGTATAGCAATCCCCCAGTGTAAATGCATGAGACGAGGCTCTATGTTCAAAACAGGGTCAAAACAGGAACTCAGCAGTCTGAGGGTTTATTGTCACTTATATGCAACTTTTTACACAATGTTACCACCCACATGGTTTTGTGACACAGCCAATCAAACACGTACAATACAGTTAAACACTCCCATTCATTCCAGCAAAATCCTCCCCTCTGCCTATGCTATAATTACTGTACACAATGGGTTAACATAATCACAGTCACCCAAAAAATCAGACAATTCCCACCAGTGGTTAAAAAGTTAGCTGGTCCTTTTTGACCAACCGCAAGAATGCTGTCCTGCCCAAAACAGTTCTATAGATTTGGGCTGTGCGGTCGGTCAATTTCACTCAGAAAAATGACTAAGTCCCATTCGAATGCACGAACGGATCACCGTTCATGCAAATGACTTAGTATACTGTGCGGTCGAATCGTTGAACAGGACTTTGTTTTCAGCCAAAGTGGAGGAGAAGGTAAGGGTCAGCGGTGTTCGTGCAAATGGGTAGTCAATTTTAGCTGCACACACCGCTGAACGATTTCGACTAACAAAAATGGCCGCCGTCACGTGTTCGACTGCCAGAACGGAGGCCACCCAGCGGTTGGCAATTAACCGCCAGCCTGGGAGGTAAATTAGCCGCACACTTCCACTTCTGTATGGTCTGCCTCTGTAGTACTTGGTTCGGTAAGCCCCATTTACCGAACAAAATAGGAAAATGACATGCACAAAGTAGTTTAACAGACTGGGGACACAGTTTTAAAGGGACATTGTCACAAAAAGTCTTCATATGCACATATACTGTTTTTAAAGGGCCAACACCCCAGGGCCATAATCACAGGGCAAGAGGCTGGCAAGCAGGCCTCTCCAGGACCAAGTGGCAAAGGGCACTTCATCACAGTATCATTGTTACGCTGATGATACACAACTACTTTGCTCCAGATACTACAGACCCAACATGCCGCATCAACAGTTGCTTAGCAGACCTCATAGAATGGATGAGCTAAAAATTAACCTGAAAAAAACAGGTGAGGGGATCCTGGCCCCACAAAAATATCCCATGATCACAAAACTGACTTGGAACTTGGAGGCTCTGAACTCATTAGTTCATCAGAGGCACCTTGGAGTGCTGATTAACTCTGGACTAGTATTTAAATGGCAGATTTCCTCCGTAATAAAATCTGCCTACTATCATCTGAAAAACAGCCAGGATATAACAGTTAATTCCACCGGATGATATGCCAAAATGAATCCGTGCATTTGTATTTGTGACAGACCCATCTGTATGGACTAAAAGCACTGTGTTCGTCTGTTTTGCCGTTTGCATGAATTCCCCCATTCGTATGCTTTGTTTAAGGGAATGTCTGTTTTTTGTCGAACGGAACTACCGAACGGACGGCCACCCAGAAGAGAAGTGTGCTGCTGGTTAACCTATTGATCCCAATTAGAACGTTGCGGTTAACCACAGACACTTCTCAATTAAACCGAATACTGGGTGGTCGTCGTTCGTATGTCAACCACGAGGCGGCGGCCATTTTAACCATGCGAAAGACCAGCGGTGTTTGACGGTTATTTCATGGAACTGAAAACTGACACTTTTTCAACCGAACACCGCTGAAGCCGTCGACCTCCCCTTCTCAATCGACAAAAGCAGACGAATGCCGTCCGTTCGGGAGATTCAACAACACGAATGGACTTAACCCAGATAGCCTTTCCATGGAGTCAATCGCATACCGAAGAACTGTAATAGACTTTGACTCCATGGGGACTGAACTATGCGAATGGGATCTGAGCGCTATTCGACAATAATATGCACTCAGATCCAGGCTATCTGGGGATGTGTTACACGAATGCAATATGTTCGGCAGTTATAAAGTTATGTATTTTTATGTGTTTTATGACTGGTACTTAAAATGGCGATTTGCCTCTGCTCTGGGAGATAATTGAATTACTTCCCAATTATCTCCCGAGCAGAGGGGAGGGAACTGTGATGCATGCTGGGAATATTGTGGGGATGTATGTCTGAAATGTCCCCATGTCCTTCTGTTATTCCAGTCTCCCATTTGGTCCCCTAGGGTAGTGTCCACCAAGTGGGAGACCTGCATAAATACCAGGCAGGTAGCCCACAGTAAATCAGTTTGTGTTTTATCCTCAAAGCGGAGCTTTTTCTCGTTATTGGGGGGATTTTATTACCGGCGCCTAGAGACTGCTTATTGGAATTATTTGCCGCTTGGAAGATATTGGCGTTCGGCTAATATTGGCAGTTCGTGGATTTGGAGCTCGTGAAGGGAAAGAGCCATACAGGTACCGTTCTGGAGTTTGGAGTGTTCCCTAGCTGGCGGTTATACTGCATACGCTACCAGACCACATTATTGCGAACGGGGAGCATTCACTAAACGGCGGTTTGTACATTTATTACTGGAGGTACCGTAACAGTATTCTCTCAGCTAGATTACTGCAATGTACTTTACTTGGGCCTCCCAGAAAAAAAGAACTCTGTTGCCTTCCAACAGTACAAAATGCAGCAGACAGACTACTGACCAATCAAACTTGCTCCTGCCACATAACACCTGTTCTCCACTCTCTGCATTGGCTTCCAATTAAATGGCAAACATATTTTAAAATTGGCCTGCTGACCTTCAAAGCCTTAAACAATCAAGGCCCACAGTACCTAAAATAGCTCCTGACACCCTATATTCTATCTTGTTCACTTCAGTCAGCCAGCAGATCCCTCCTGTCAGTCAATGCCCAGAATAAAGACAAACTCAGGTTCCAGGGCATTCAGCCATGCAGCCTCTACCTTCTGGAACTCTTCCATCAGGCATTTAGTCAACTCATCTGACCATCAGAAACTCCTAACTTTTATGTATTTATGTTTGTATATTTGTAACGTCTCACCGGGAGAAAAGCCGGGAGAAAAGTGCTATAAAAATCAAATAAGGAACACTACAAGCTCCTCGTCAAGCCTTTGCATTCAGAAATCAGCCTAGCTCTTGTTGGTGCTGTGGAATGGAAGAGGGTACCCTACTGCATGTCTGGTAGTAATGTTCAGCTATAGTCCCATTCTGGAGGAGCATCCCCTTTCAATTGTGCTGTTACAGAAGAGTCCACCCAGGTTCTGTCCTGCAAAATACTTACTGCATTATGCTAAATTGCCCATCTCCATCCATAAAAAAAAAATCTCTTCTCAAACACCTTCTGATCTGTAGCAGAGCCAGTGGTTTAATATATTTATTTACCCTATTCTAACACCACAGTCTACCCACTTGGACATTATTAAATACATCTGTACTGTCCCTTTAAGGGTTGCCGATATGGGGTTCCTATTGTGTGTTCCAGCATGTATTGTAATGCAGTGTTAATGATGTATTGCCTGCCTGGGCTATCTGCCGAACGCAGATAGCTGATTCCCCTTCGTTTCATGAACGGCACCTTTGCGGGCCGTTCGGGAACCGAACAACATATCCTTTAATAGCCCACACACTTAGAGGCGTGTGGCGCCTATTAACCGATTGCAACAATGTTGCAATCGGTAATTAGAGGCTCTCCTGGGTGGCCGCCGTTCGACTACCGACCATGCGGCGGTCGGCCATCTTGGATCCTTTGTTCACTCAGAGGTGTTTGGTCGTCGAGCGCGTGGTATTAAAAACGGCTACTCGATGGTGCGAACACCGCTGAACCTCCAGACCGTTCGGGAGGTCCGGGACATTCGGTATTTTATTCCCTTATCTGTAATCTGTGTTTTCAGGCTATGTGTTAGTGAATATGTTTTTTGTGCACGTTCGGTTGTTTTAGCAGGGATCTGAGCGGTAATCTTACGAATAATGCGCTCAGACCCCAGCTATCTACCGAACGTCCATTCGTTTAAATAACCCAGATATTCATGAAGTTATTGAATTTAATATGAATTGTGAGTTCTGCTGCACGGAGGGATAATCCACTTAACGGCATATTCCAGTGGGAGGATCCCTCTCGTGCAGCAGTGCCTGATGGGAGAAATGTCCTGTATTGTAAGTCCCCCATGTAGTCCCCTCTGGGAATGCCCCTGGGAGGGGAATCAGGAAACCCCTTGCATGGGGACTTGTATAAATTGTGGAGCTGAATTAAAAGACCTCAGTTGACTCCCAGCCTATGTGTCGTCTAGTTCTTGGGAAGGAAGGGTTACTGCAGTGCTGTTTGGATTATTGTATGCTGATTCCCTGGATTATCCTTTGTTGTTCCTGTTACCCAACGGAGATATCGTGGATTACACTGCCTCTCCGCTACACCTTCCTATACAATCCCCATTGTGTCATCTTATAACCTCCTGCTTTTACCCAGTCTGTGTAGCGGTACTTACTTGTCCCACGAGCCAGTTGGGGTCCTCTGTGCTCAGCTTAATCACTGTGTATTTTGAGTGTGCCTCATGTGCCAACCGTAACCAACAGCTGCACGGTCCGCCACGTGCAATTAAGAGTGCTGCTCGCAGTGCAAGCATGCTCTTAAAAAGTCAATGGGAGCCCCAGCCCTCCATAAGGAATCCCTGCAGGCACATATCGTAACATTACCTAAGCCAGGCAAGCCACCCACACTCCCACAGAACTTCAGGCCCATATTCCTTTTAAATACTGATGCAAAGCTATTTGCCAAAATACACGGACCGCTCCTCAGCAAAATACTCACTCAAATTATTCACTCTGACCAGGTCGGCTTTGTGACAGGAAGGCAGGGAACTGAAACCACACGCAAAGTCCTAAACTTTATTCACAGTATTCACAAAAGGCCAGCAGGAGGGGAACTGATCCTCTCCCTCAATGCGGAGAAGGCCTTTGGAAATTCCTGGAGGTGTTCATGGCTAAATTTGAGATACCGGAGGGATTTGGATCCATGGTTAAGGCATTATACAATGCTCCCTCGACTTTGGTGCTCACGGCAGGGTTCTTGTCTGAACCCTTTTCAATTATGAATGGAACTAGACAGGGATACCCCCTCCTACCCTTACTCTACGTCATGGCACTGGAACCACTAGCATCCAAAATACGAGATCTATACATGGGGTGAGTGTTGGGAAGCGTGACTATAAAACAAACTTATTCACGGATCATGTACTATTAACCCTGACCGAACACCTGATTTCCCTGCCCAACCTATTCAAAAAGTGACCGTTTACGGAGCCAGCTCATATTATAAACTTAACATGAACAAAACCCATCCATGTCAGTAAAAACACGCTTGACACTCTCAAAGTAAACTTTACTATGGACTGGAGAGCAGACCATGTCACATTCCTAGGACTGCATATAACAAAAAACTTTGCACACCTATATCAGGCTAACTATGAAAAACTCTATACAGAACTTGAGTCCATACTGTCCTCCTGGGGAGATAAGTATCTCTCGTGGCTAGGCAGACTCGCAGCAGTAAAATGTAATTGTTGCCTTGCTTGCAATACTTATTTCGTACACTACAGATCACACTCCCCTTGACCTACAAAATCCAAAAATTGTTCACTCACTTCATCTGGGTGCATAAGCGAGTAAGGATGACCATGATGTTCTTACACAGATCTGTGGAGCAGGGAGGTCTTGCCCTACCTAACGTTAAACTGTACCACAGAGTGATAGAATTAAGCTCTTCCCATATGCCCCCCACCCCCAATGTACTGATATAGAAAGCTACTGGGCCCAAAGTCTGCAATTACAGAGCCTAATATGGAGATCCAAGCAAGCACGCTCTTTGCTATCAAACCTGCTCCCAACTACGAAAACACTCCTAACAACTTGGGCCGCAGACCAAGAAGCTCTATGCTCCACTTCCACCTGGTCACTAGCTGCACCGATATCCAGCCTCCACATAGCCAACCACATGTTTGATCACCTAGTGTGAGTTGAAGGAGGGTGCACTTAAGTAAAACACCTATTTCAGGAAACCGCACTGTTACAATTTCCGACCCTCCAGGAGAAATTCAACCTCCCCTCTAGAGCAATATTTTCATACCTCCAGTTACAATCAATGTCATCATCCTGAAACACTAACACTACAAAGCCATTCCGATAGTTTGAGTCAGTGTGCCTAGCACCGACCAGCCTCCCCCCCAATGTAGTTACTTTCTACGTTATAACCTCCTTAATAGAGGAGATAAGAGCTGGATAAATTCATCCTAGCATGGCTGGCAGACTTAGATCAATCCTATGACATACTACAATGGTTAAAAGGATTTAAGGCACACAAAGGGAGAACATCCTGCACTATGCACATAGAATTGCTCAGGAAAATATTTTAAAGATGGTATATGGTGCCAGCTAGACTGGCGAAAATATTTACAGGTACAAAGGAAACATGCTGGAGATGTAAAGCTGACAAAGGCACGATGTACCATATATGGTGGTCCTGTAACCACATTCAGCCATACTGGTGGTTAGTAGAGGTCACTCTGGCACAAGTCCTAAAAACTGAAATAACACTTACACCAAGCTTAGGTCTATTGCTCTTACATATTGACAAATTTCCGAGGTGGGAGGCTATTCTGGTATTTCATACTTTAGTTGCAGCATTGACACTATTGGCACGGGCCTGGAAGTAGGGTGGAGGCACCCTAAAGACACGTCTTAATGCAACAATTCTCTACCAACATAGACTACGAGTATATGGCTAGACGCCAGCGGGGCACTAACTCACTCTTCGGAAGAGCCAAAGGATACTTAGAAATGCAAATTGGATCAATCCCAGGATCCGCCATGCCCCTGACCAGTCCCACCTAATAGCTGTGTGACTGACCGACTCAGGATGGGCAAACCATCCCACTGACCTATTCATACTGGCCCACCAAGCCGTCACAGGCAAACACGGAGTAGGCTACTCTTAGAGAAGAATATAGACGTAAGCCGACATAAAGGGTATTAATTCTGAAAAATGAAGTGCGTACTAGAATTCTCTTTTCAAAAAATGACCGGTAGGGAATTCCTGCAGTTTAGGCATCCTTCCTCCTGTTTATCCTCCTTTTAATGGCATATTGAATTGTAAATAGTTGGGGACAAGGCACAATAGAGATCTCTAGACTGTACGACTCCAAGCCCATGCACCTGAGTGATCCACTTAGGGACTCTCCACAAGGTTCCGCACCAAACTCCTCTCTACTGTGGGAAACCTTGACAACACATAGATGACATGTTAGTCCACTAAGGAGAGTTGCAACCACCTGGGGACAACTTTGTCATATGCATAATGTGAGTTTACCTACCGAATGGAAATTATATAAAGCCGTGACTATGTCCTTAAACGAAGTTGTGTGGCTAACCTCTACGGTATTCCCACATAGCAGACGAGCCACGAATGTTCCTGACAAACAAGGGCTAGAGTTCACAAGAGTATCAACTAAATGAATAAATAGTGAAGTATCCTGCTGGAGAACCTCTCCCACCTCCCGTTCCCCTTCCCTCCCACTGGTACAAACACTCTACATCTTATGTTGTACACCATTTTCCAAGTGATTCGTTATTACGATGTAGGTACTGTAATGCACATACTGTTATGTGATTGTCTACTTGTGTATGCCAAATGCATTATGTCATTAACCCTACTTCCCCTTTTCATTTCTGTACCCCCAACTTATTCTTGAAAATAAAAGCTATCAAATTGGGGGGGGGAGAAAAAGTTGGAGCCCCAAGTATTTTCTGGCTTCCGTTGCTCCTCGTCACACCGGCGAACCCATGAACTCACATTTTGGGGGCGCAAGCATGATGTGGAACAATCACAAGTTACTGTTAGGTTATTTAAACCTTCCTAGCTCTGTACTTTGTGTCCTATTGTGCTTTCTGTCCTAGTACTCTTTAGTGCTTCCTTGAGCTATTGCACAGTATTCTGGTATTGACCATGGCTTTGTTTTTGACTCCGTATTTATTTTCAACATTTTCCTGTGTTGTTTATCTGACTTATTACCATGTACCTCACCGCGGCTAGTTTTCATTTTCCCTGTCTCTGTGTTACCCTGACCTTGGCTCATTACGGAGTACGCTTTTTCTTGTCCAATGTAGGGTTCGGCCATTCTAAGGCCCGTTTTTCCGGTCTTGTCCCTTGCTGTCCTGAATCCTGCGTGTCGGGGTATTACGCTGTGACAGTCTGTGTCTGTCCTCTTATCAGTGTGCCCTACTCTATCCCCGTGTTCCTTGTTATATAATTTAATAGACATCATACATGTGATCTATTATAATTGGAGACAATTTAAAATAGAAATATTTTGCTTTTCTTTATAGGTTCAACTTTACATTAAGAGATATGAATATCACAAGTGATGGCTATAATCATTTCCAATATTGCTTAAACAATTTTCAAAGCATCAATGATAAACAAAAATGGAAAGTAGAAGAAATAAAACCAACATTTCCTCAGTACTTCACTTATGAACGAAGTGACCAGTTGGTAAGTAATCAGTAAAACGGTTTAATACCTGTACAGCAATACATTTTAAATATAATTAGTGAAATGTCCCACATTGCAATGTCAGCTGGTGATTATTTAAAGCTCGCTCTAGTGGTTATGGTGCCATAAATGCTTACTGGTGCCATTCCCCACCTACTGATGAGAGGAAGAAGGTCTTAAGCTTCTGTTAGCTATCCTAAGCAAAGTCCTACAGTACAAATCTAGCTCTCATTGGTTAAGAGCATGAGTTGATCACGGGCAACTTAATAGCTAAACATTGTGCTGCTCTACATGAATAGTAGTAGTAGTAGTAACGGTTTGACTGCTCACAAATGAAGAGCCTCGGAGCATTCCTAGCATTATAATCACTACAGTTTGCTATGGAGTGTTCCTTTAAGATGATGGGATACTAGACTCCACCTCTGGTATTAAATTACGTCCCTCATTCTTTCTAAAATTTAACTGATGACTGTTTGGAATTTTGTTAAAATGGCTATCAGTGTACAAAAATATTTCGGTATTCCATTTATTATACTATTTGCGTGCCAGAAATATGATCATCGATAGTAAAAAATATCATTATAGTGATGTTTATATTAGAGCTCAAAATATAATCTACTAGCCTGGATTAAAATATTCTTGCCATGTCAAATGATTCCACAAAATATGGCATGTCTCAATGTTTTGTTTTTTACTTTAAGTATCAGTTTGTCTGACTCACTGTAAATATTTTTTAAATTTATTAAAAAAATATAACTATAAATAGGGAGTGAGAGAGACAGACATACAAAGTATTGGGACACTTGACCATTACACCAACAGGGATTGTTATGACCTCACAATAAATAATAATATTATGTGGTAGGTCCCTCCGTTGCAGCCATAACTGTTTCCATTCTTCTGGGAAGGCTTTCCGCAAGATTTTTGAGGTGAGGTCAGGCACTGATGATGGATAAGAAGGTCTGGCTTGCAAGCTCCACTTCAGTTTATACCAAAGGTGTTTGATGAGGTTGAGATGGGTGCTCTGTGCAGGCCAGTCAAGTTCTCCCACACCAAACTTATCATTGCATAAAGATGCACATTGCTAGTCCATGTCATGCTGGAATAGAAAAGGGCCTTCCCAAACTGTTTCCACAAAGTTGCAAGCATAGAATTGTCCACAATCTGGTATGTTTAAGCATTAAGATGTCCCTCCACTAGACTTAAGGAGCCTAGCCCAATCCCTGAAAAACCAGCCCCATACGTTTTTCCCGCCTCCACCAATTTTTACAGTTGGCACAGTGCAGTCAGGCAGGTAATATACTCCTGGCATATCGCAAATTCATAATAGCCCATAAGACTGCCAATCAAAGATGTGTGATTAGTCAATCCACAGAACACATTTCCACTACTCCAGAGTCAAGTGGCGTGGTGTGCTTTACCCCACTTATCTGACGTTTGGCATTGTACTTGGTGATGTGAGGCTTGCATGCAGATACTCAGCCATGGAAATTCATTCCATAAAGCTCCTGCTTTAAACTTTCTGTGCTGATATTAATGCCAGTGGAAGTGTGAAACAGCAATTGGTGATTGCGTTTTCTGACTTTACATGGTCTTCCACTTCATGGCTGCTCGAGTTGCTACTGTTCCATTTTACAACAATACCACTTACAGTTGACCGTGGAATATCTATCAGGGATGAAATTTAATTAACTGTTTTATTGCAAAGGTGGCATCCTATCACAGTGCCACATTGAATTAATTGAGCTGTTCAGAATGACACATTGTTTTCATAAGAGTTTGTAAATGCAGACTGGGGCTTGCCGATTGATTGATTTTTCTTCTCTCTTCTCACAAGTTCTGGTATGTATTTGTTTTTCTAATTTTTTTATTTTTTTTATGGGTTGTTAGGATTTGATATCTCTATCAATTATTTATTACATTGATATTTAGGTATTTGTTTACTTTATATCCTGCTTGGATGTTATCATAGAACCGCTGATAATGTATATTATCAGTGAGTGAGTTATGTTTTAATCTATTTTGATATGCATTGTGAGATATCTATCTTTTTTGTACGTATCCAATAATAAAACATTTTCACATTAATGATTGTGCTCGTTGCCTGGATATTATCTGTAAATGCAGACTGCACAGATTGGGGCTTGATTTTCTACATCTGTGGCAATAGGTCTGATTGAAACACCTGAGTTTAATAGGTGTGTCCCAATACTTTTTTTTCCTTATAGTTTGAAAGTATGTAGTATGTGTGTGTGTATAAGATGCCAAAATACCAAAAGTATTGCAGTATGCAATGATACTTTTTTATTGGACTAACATAATACTTAAAAGACAAGCTTTAAAGAGTTTTCCCTCTCTTCCTCAGGATGCATATACATAAACCAAGACACTCACCTAACCATGCATACTTATAAGGTTGTTGCTGGGGCCAATTCATACAACATGCAATATACAGTGCACTCACTTGTTCACTAAACGGCAATTTCAAGGCTCATATAATGTAATTTAAAAAAAAAAAAAAAATTTTTTTTTAACAACACCTAACCTAGGCAAAAAAGAATGGGGGTTTAGAATATGATCATATATTGCATAAGCCTGCCACAATGTAAATGTACCCCATTCTTGACAGATCCTACTCTAGTATGTATGTATATAGCAAGCTGGTTAAGGATGCAGAGAGGTAAATTGCAAGTTATTGCATTTTTAAATTTTAAATTTTGCTTCATATAAACAAATACATACACCAGACGATGAGACATAAAGGCTACATTTTGTGTACAGCTGTTCGTCAGCACAGTGATTTTAAAAGTTTTAGTTACGCAATTTTATTTTCACAAATGTTTGAAAAATAAATGGTAATGTTTTTAAAAATCCATAACGGCTTCCGAACCACATGACTTACTGACTTCTCTAGAACAAGTCTGAATATATGCCATAACACAAGTAGCACCCTTTCTTCGTTTGTCCATGATGAATGGGAAATGGGAGGTACTAAACAAAGCACATTTGGCACAAAGTTTAGCAGCAGGACAACGAGTTGTGTTCCCAGAGAGCCTCATTTTACCAAAGGCTGTTTTCTGATCCCCTTTCAAAGACCTCCACTACCACTAGTGCTGCTCCTGCTTCTACCATTGGCAGCAGCACATCAGCTCCTCCTACCACCACCTCTATCCTAGTCCTACCTTTAGCATCAGCAAGGGATCAATTGAAAGACCACAGGAGTTGTTGCCACTGCCAATGCAACCCTTCCTGCTAGTCCTTATAGACCACCTAAAAAGGAACTTGGAGAGCAGTTAGAAGTAGTGGAAGTCCTTTTCCTGCAGATTCAGGTGAGCTTGTCTGTAGTGGCCATGTGTGTGTCAGTGAGCTTGTCTCTGTTAGCATGTGTGTGTCAATGAGCTTGTCTCTAGTTAGCATGTGTGTGTTAGTGAGCTCTTCTGTAGGGAGCATGTGTGTGTCAATGGACTTGTCTGTAGTAAGCATGTGTGTGCAGTGGGCTTGTCTGTAGTGGCCGTGTGTGTCAGTGAGCTTGTCTGTAGTGGCCATGTGTGTGTCAGTGAGCTTGTCTCTGTTAGCATGTGTGTGTCAATGAGCTTGTCTCTAGTTAGCATGTGTGTGTTAGTGAGCTCTTCTGTAGGGAGCATGTGTGTGTCAATGGACTTGTCTGTAGTAAGCATGTGTGTGCAGTGGGCTTGTCTGTAGTGGCCGTGTGTGTCAGTGAGCTTGTCTGTAGTGGCCATGTGTGTGTCAGTGAGCTTGTCTCTGTTAGCATGTGTGTGTCAATGAGCTTGTCTCTAGTTAGCATGTGTGTGTTAGTGAGCTCTTCTGTAGGGAGCATGTGTGTGTCAATGGACTTGTCTGTAGTGAGCGTGTGTGTGTGACAGTGAGCTTGCGTGTAGTAAGCTTGTGTATCAGTTTGTCTGTACTAAATTTGTGTATATACCAGTAAGCTTGTCTGTGTGTGTCATTGAGCTTTTCTGTCAGTGAGCCTATTTGTGTGCATCAGTGAGCTTGTGTTTTTATGTCATTGAGCATGTATATATTGTCTATGAGCCTATATATCAATAAGCTTGTGTCAGTAAGATTGTCTGTGTCTGCATGTGCTTTACTGTATAATTGAATTACCTTGAAAGGACTAATATTTTGAATTAGAAAAATAAATATACTAATATTATAAATATATATATATATATATATATATATAAACACCCCCTATATAGCACAATGACTTATGGGGCTGGCATAGATTTTTTTTCCAGGGCTGCTTTGTATCCCCAGTCCAGGCCCTGCTTGTAGTTAAGTCAGCAATCCCAAAAGGAAATAATAGACTAGCAAGTGTAATTGAACATGCAGTGTGAAGGCTAGCCAACCGTTGAGGCAGGAGTAAGAAAAAGCAGGTCTTCCCATATGACAAGATGTAAGTAAATGGTAGAACTCTATTTTGGAGATGCTGTAGAGGATTCTAAAGCAGCAGAGGGCAATCCATAGTCCGGCATCAGCCCAGTACATTGGTTTTGGGTCTTCATTGGGTAGAGACGATTGGACAGTGATTGCTCAGCTAGTGGCCATCCTTAAACCATTCAAGAATGCAAATGAAAACGGCTGCAGGAGGATGAGAGGTGTGCTACTCCCAGCAACAGCATTGGCAGTTGTGGGGATATTTATGGGTTGATAAATATTAAAATAATATTTCCATAAAAATTATCAAAAATGTATTTAATTATTTTTATTATATCAAAATTGCTATCTTGAGAATTACCCACGATCATTATGAGGATTTTTACTCCATACAGTAAATCACAATTCTTTAGAAAAAATATAATTTATTGTGACAATAATAAAAAATTATAATAATAATAATAATAATACGTGATAACAATCAGTGAATATTTAGGTATAACATTGGCATACAATATGGCAATATTTAAACAAGTACAGCGGCTAAAAAGTAATTAACTGTCAAGACTTAGCAAGATTTATGATAGCTTAGCAAACAACTTC